CTAATAAACCCTTCAAACGACCTTTTAGGTTTTTAAGAACGACTCAAATACTCTTACGGGTTTAGTAACATTTCGTAAACGCATTAGGAAACCCTTTGAGTTTTGTACATGACGCTTTTTTTTTAGAGTGTACTCTCCTGTTTCTTAACTTTCTACTTTCCTCCGACCTGCTTTCCCACTTTCCTTCCTTCCTGATTTCTTGCTTTCCTAACATCCTACATTCCTGATTGCCAGCATTCCTACTCTCTGCGCTTTTGTTGTCTTCTACTTTTCCTTGAAGACCGTCGGCATTATAATGTGTGATGGCAAAAAACATAGTGCTGCTAACACTGATAATCAATCTCCACCTCTAAGATATGTGTGAAAAAGTGCCCTCTTATATTTTTGCTTCATCTCTTTTCAGTTTGCGACAAATGCAAATTTTACATCATGCCAATACTCGGTTATATCTCAGCAAACCGCTATCAACGTCATTAATGTTTAGAATTGTGATTTATTTTCTCGTTAACCACTCTACTTTATATATGATTCGACAGAGAATTTCATGGGTTACAAAATGAACTATAAGACATTATATTGATAGTTTGTATTCGTAAATGCACTGGGCAAACACTGACCAGGTATCTCGATTTTTTCCAATAGTAGCACATAAAAATGCTCGTAGTTTTTCCTATAAAGATTCGCATAAGTCATGCCTAAGTTATTATAAACACGTGCATCTTGATCTTCGTCGTAATAGACTTTGTCCGTAAGTGGCACAGAAGAGGTATGTGCGTGGCGTCTGCCAGGTTTATTTTGCGTGAAATAAACGGCTATTGAATTATGATTAAGCGCTTGCTCATAATCACCCATGTCGAAATACAATTTACCCAGTGAGGAATAGGCATTAACATACTCGAATCCATCGTACCAACATACCAATCCATCGTATACCAGAGATAGAACATCGAAAAAGAAAAGCGATGTATTTTTGCCCAGAATTTTCTGACATGTTCTTCTATGGATTTTCTGGAAAACTCCAGTTTTCATCAAGTGACATTACGATCTCACAAAAAAACGATCCGATTGAGGTGAAAATTTTACCACAGATACTTTAGATCCTGTCTCAGGTTTTTTTTCGAAAGATATGCCCTCCTTCTCGAGATATTCGAAAAGTACTAAAGTTTCTATATGAAAATGAGGAAACTAAGGCGTGAGAGCTTTCTTTGGACAGATTAAATTTATGAAAAAAGTGTCCGTCTTCTTTTTTGTCGTTTTTAATTCAGAATTCAAACAAAACTTTTTTGGCTTTAACCGTTTACACTTGCTGAAAAAGTTGTACTAGTTTGCAGACAGGCTCACTTCGATTTAGATTTTCTTCGACTAGCTGTCATTATCATTTATTTTGCGAACAATTGTGTTGTTAGTCTTGTTAGCCAATCTCTAGCCTCTTGTTTTATGGATAAAAGCATGCATAATTAGCGAAATTGACGGTTCACTTTTCATATTTTTAAGTCTAATTCAACAATGAAACGTTGTCGATAAAGAAGTGAGGATTTAAGTTGTTTTATAGATTATCTTCAAATAAGGTAATGCCTGTCCATACCGATAGACAATATATTCTGTGAAATCTAGATCATGTTTACCCAGTACTGAGTCATATCCTATTGGTGCTGTACGTAGTTCGTGGTTCACTTGATCCAATCTATATTGTGTACCCAAAATGACCTTACTGTAGATAATTACGCGTGTTTTATTAACTGGATCAGGTTCCGTGTATTTATGCGATTTCGCTGGATTGTCAGCAAAATAAGCTCCATGACCTAAAAAAGGATGAAATATAAAATGTGCTTTGGTAGGCTAGAAGAGTTATCTTATAACTTAATTTTAACCCCAAAACTTCTCGCTCACCATACAAACCCTGTCGACTGAAATTATGATCATCAAAACCGTCATTCAGAATTCCATCGATCGCTTCACCATATGTGCCATGAAATAACTGACATTCATTCGGATTATGTCCTTTACATGTTCTAGCAATTACCATTTTCATTGCTAAATAGACATCTTCTAACAGTGGATTTTTAATTTCTTCTATTGAGAGTATTTGACAATTAGGTATTTTTGAAATCATTTGACCATTTAATTCCCCATAAAGTACAGAACTCGGTGGTAACTGCACAAGCACAACATTATATCTTATTGCTGGATTTGGTATCACATTCATTTCAGTTCCTATTTGTTTCCATCCACGACTTTTCATTTTATCTACACGTGTGCTGACAATTGAATCGATATGACGTAGGACTTGAAATGTTTTATTCTTAATATTATAAATAGTTGCTTCTAAGTCTATATTATAAGGTTTTTGTGTTATATCAACACGCATACCCAATTCACTTTTGTAATCTTTTTCCAAATATAAATTATTTACATCGAAATCAATGCGATCATGTGTTAAGGCAACATGTGGTTCAATTAAATCCATTGTAAATGGACCAGTTGATGCATGTTCATCAATTATAATAATATAACGCCAATCTTGACGAACTACTGCACATTCAATATGATATTTATGTAAATAATCTAAAAAATTATCAATATCAAAATAATAATGTGTAGGTAAATGACAATCTAAATCACTTGGTATTAATTCTTTATCTAAATATGGAATGGGCGTTTCACGTTTTAACCATATTGACGGTTCACTTTTTGGTTTAGCTGTATAAGAACCAACCACCCAATCACGTATAAAACCACCTTCCAGATGACAATGAAATTTGCACACAGCAATCCATGCAACTGCTTCCATACGTGTTTCACGTGTCGCTTTACTTCCAATTAATTGAGACCATAAATCGACTGATGTACGTTTACTATCAGTTATACGAGCTATTCTTTCTTCCACATCTGAATACAGGCTACGAATTTGTGGTTTCATTGTACGTGGAGGCACACCTTGTAAAATAAAAAGAAGCAAAAGTATAATAAAATGTGTAAACACGTCAGATAGAAAGCGATTAGAAAACTTTTCTATAACGTACCTGAGTTAGGATGACGCATAACTGAACAAGTTTTGAGCCAACCGAAAAATACCTTAAATTCTGAGCGTACTCGTTGATTTTGTGAAACTCTTCCTTGAACTGTTACTTCACAGACGTTTTCTAATGATTGAGGTGATTGCTGCTTTTTCAACTTTTTAAATTCTACACTAATTTTTACTTGTTCTTGTATCTCCCAACGCCATATCATTGGATTAAAAATGTGTGATAATTTACTCATATGGACAATGTTACGATTTACATTCTCGTATTCAACTGAATTTGGTACACTATCATTTCGTAATTGAAATGAAAATTCTACAATTAATTGTTGTCTAATGTAAAGTTCTGCTTCTATTACTGGGCCACTAGGACCTCTTATTACGAGTTGATGATCTGTTGTTAAATGACAGTGAGCCGTAGGAAACATTTGTGTGACTTTTCGAATTATCTTCTCTTCTTGTAACTTTTCTTCTTCTCTTAGAACTAACGTCAATTTGCGTTCGATCATCTGTGTTATCCATTCCGTATTTAATTCACCAACGAAAGAAAGAACGGCTCTCTCACGCACTGAAGACGGATAATATATATCACGTGCTAATATCACAGAAACTGGTGGCATACTAATTGATCTTATAAGTGTTGATTTTAAATCTAATACACCAATTTCTTTATCAATTGAGTTATACCGCAAGTAATGATGTGTTTTACCTTGTAGTTCTTTTAGTGAGACAAAAACGTTTTCACTATAGCCTTCCAATAACGATTTTGCAATCAATGACCATTCACCAGATTTTAACTGTGCTTTCTCACGGTATTCATCGGATAAATTAAATGATTTTTCTAAATAACTATATCGTTTTAATGCTCGTTCTAATAGATGCACCATTTCAGAGAGACGTTTCGACTGACAAAATTTTTCCACACTGAATTGTTTCACTGACAATAATTGTTTCATGAGATTGATTAGCGTCATAAAATCTCCATCAGAAGACTTCATTTCTACCGGAATAATTTTTAATATTGTTGCTGTATTGAGTGCATGTAAAATTGACGATAGAATAATTAAATCTCCACCACAATTATATTTTGTTAGTGCTGTAAAAACAGATTTCGCCAATGCTAGTGAACTGAAACTCGGTAATTTTGATAATGCAGTGCCAACCGGTGTGAATTTTTCGTCGGCTGTTAATATATCTAATTTAAGAATAAAGAATTTGAATTTAGTTGAGACAAAAACAGAAAAAATATTTTTCTTTTTGATTCTTAGCAAAGATCGTCAGACGAATAGTAGCGATCGGGTCAGTAACATAGGCGCCTATTCTTATCCCTGGAACTTCAAGTATAGTAGCAGAACAGTTAAATTTCAATACTACCTGTTTTCTTAAGTTCCTGAATAGCTAATTGAATCGCTTGTTCAGTTGGTGGATCGGGTAGATATCTTTTCAAATAATTTAAGCCATTTTTCACTGACGATTTTCTTAGAGAAAATTCTAATTCAGTTAAATCTGTTTGACATATCTGTGGTGTTGGACACTTTTTATCTTCCACTTTATGATTGTATAATGCATAATATTCACCTGGTTTTGTTCGTCCTAATCTTCCTTTCCTCTGCTCTATCGTCGATTCAGCTGCATGCGTTTCTTTTATGATCATTCGTTTTTTCTCTAAATCATATGTTGGTACGTTGATCATGCCAACGTCGATTACATACACCAGAGATGGAAATGTCAAAGATGTTTCGGCAAGTGTCGCTGAAAAGAAGACACTACCCTGTTCAATGAACTTTTGTTGATCAGCAACAGATTGTGACTGGGTGAGTGGATAGGCAACAATCGATCCGTTACTTAGTTCTGCCAATAGCTGACACGATCGATGAACTTCAGAGACACTCGAAACAAAACAAAGTATTTGATCTTCACGGTGCTTCTTCGTCTTATACAGTTCCTGTACAACGTCTAATAAATTTTCGTTTGGACGTAGAATTTTTGCTATATTATAAGGAGTAGGCGTTGTTAATCTTGTAAATTGACCAAAATTGAGTTCTGGAACTCGAGTAAACAAATCTGAAATATTTTGAGCCAATGTTGCTGACGATAGAACTAATTTAATTTTTTGTCTTAATTGTGGTTTTTCAGTGAGTAAGCGTGTAAATAACGCTATACAGATATCAATGTTGACGTTACGTTCTTGTATTTCGATAATAAATACTGTTGGCTTCTGGTTTTTATCAAAATCAAATAAATTATCATCATACAATAAACGTTCTTTCATTATACCATCTGTTATATATAAGATGGGTGCATTAATATTCTGTTGTGCACCACTCACAATCCATCCAGCTAATTTGGGTTCATTTCCATTTGCCATTACCATTGTTTTATTAACACGATCACAGAGCATTACACAAGCTAAACGTCGTGGCTGCACTATAATAACTCTTGGATAATCATTAGCAATCAATAGAACTGGCAATAACGTTGACTTTCCTAGAATCAGAACTAATGAAAAAGAAACAAAAATTAAAACTTATAGTTTTATTGAGTATATCTAAAGTTTTCTTCCTTCTAGAACGACTCTATTTACCTGATCCAATTGATGTAGAAACGGCACAAACTGTATTGTCTTCGATTTGAGCTAACAGTTCTTTCCCTGATTCATACAATGGAAGTTGCAATGCATAAGTTCGATAAAATAACTGTATTCGTTTCAAAACATTTGGTACAGTTTCGAATTCTTTTCCAGAAGCGCTACTATTATGAATTATGCTGACTTCAAAGTCATACTTAAGTTTTGCAATAAAATGATCTAAAATCTCATTTGATAATTTAGACGGTTTAGTTTCCTGTGTAAATGTTTGTACTTCCGCAGATCGTTTTATATATAAATCCAAAGAACTACGTTTCAATCGGTTGATATCTATGTCAATTGGTTTACTTTTTAGACAGTTATCGATTTCCTGTGTAAATGCCATTTGTAATGTTTTTCCTCCAAGCGATAATTTAGTGCTTAATTTCGACATCACAGTTATAATCATATTGTCCAATATTTTTTGATATTCATAAAGTTTTTGTTTAAAAAGTTTCAGAAAACAAGCTTTGTAATAAATCCAATCTCTTGTTGATAAAGATGTAGTTGCTTCTCTCAACAGATTTTGAATTGTGTTTGAAATATTTTGTAAATCTTGCTGTCTCTGTTCGTAGCCAAACAGCGAGCTATTAGTATCGTTATTACAGTCAAGATCAACGATTGGTGAAACAGGAAAATTATCGGGTGTATCAAAATCTTGCATACTCATAGTTGATGCGTTCTAAAAAAATAAAAAGAAAGAACATTAGCTGTAGTAGGGGGCTAATTCAGACAAAAAAGCATATTGCATAGTATATTATAGTTTAGAACCTAGAGGGTAAGCTGTGACTAATAACATTGGTTCCCTGGCAGAACTATACTCGCACAATGATGTATGCACAAAGCTTGATCTATTTGAATGAATCAATTCTGTATCTGTCAGTAGACCGTGAACTTTGTAATAGTTGTGTTATTTATAAGCGAGGTTTGTTGAGATATATAAAGCAAACTTTCCAGAGAAACTTAACCCTATGCAGAAAATAATACATAGTAGAACCCTTTTAGCTTAGTCAGTGAGTAGTTTACTATCTACATACGTTTCTTTCGTTTGTTTTTTCACCAGAAAAGTCATTGGGTTCAATATAGTCTTCTTCACCATCTACAGCACAGCTAACTTCAGTAGCCGTTGTGTCATCCAAGATTTTATCTAAACTTATCTCTGTCAACATCCCATCTAAAATTTCAACGCTAAAATAGAATTTAATGCTCAAGCTAATGAAGAACGATATAGTTCTCTTAGAACTAAGAGGAAGAAAAAGTATTACAAAAAATAGCTTCCGCAATGGAAAAGAAAGGAAAGCATCTGTAGTCAGATACGTTCACAAATCGCCAATCTCGCTCTCCTTCTTCAATCGCTTAATGTCAACGTACCTGTAATAACTGAAGGTTCTTGTAACCATCGAATGTAGCCACAAATACTGAAACTTGTATTGTAGAATGTAAAGTCAAATAGATCAAATATTAAATCCTTTCCAGTAAATGGTACACTGATAGAAATCGATTCACGTCTATCATTCATTGAAGTATCTAACACTGAGTTAGTTTTGGCATCACAGTAGTACCAAGAGTTTAAACGTAAATTTCTTTCCTTCTGAAATATTCTTGGCAGCTGTTCAAATTCTAACGACGGCATCATCTGTTCACGACTGTCTATTTCATCATGTTTTAGTAATAATATTTGCCATACACAATAGCAGTTACAGTTCAAAATACTAGACCCACGACATCTTATCCATGCCGTATTTGGATAGTTAGTATCAACAACAGACACGCGAATGCATAAAAGTTTTTCTAAATCAATATAATAGAGACCTAGTGGAGACGTCAAGTAAAAACTTATATTCATTCGTGATGTACAATATAAATGCCGTAGTAATTCAGATGATTCCTGCGGTGGAAACGGATGCCAGGGAGGATCATTGTTGGCGTTAAAATCAATAGCTCTGTATTCCCAAATGCAATCGTGCTGTGGGCGATTTTCCTTAGCAACCGGCATTAGTGGTAAATCAGAGAAATTTTCTCTATTTGAATAACCACACAACAAATAATCTTGAAAATAGTGATTTATAGGAGAGTGAATCATATCAAGCATAAATGGCGTTTCTCCAGCCTGATTTTTAATATAAATGTCAGCACCATGCTCGACCAGATATGCGACAAGATCTTTGTCACCAATAGATGCAGCAACATGTAATACTGTAGATCTACTTATTGAGTCTAGGAAGCAGTCATTTGATTCTGTACGTCGATTTTGAGAATTTATAGCACATTTAGCTACTTCAATTAAATATTTATCAGTAGCAAAACATGCATTATTAGCAGCTGAATATAACAATGTTGTAAAGAACGGGCCTGGTCTATCTGACGAGTTTTCTCTTTCGCCTTTTGTCGCTTACTGCAGTACTGGTGCAATAGAAAATCATTATTATCAATCTGCACGCAGATACACACACACAGTTGATCTCAGTGACCAAAAGTTTACAAAGAGAGGAGTCTAAAATTTTTCTTCTTTTTTCTGCATTAGTTTCTGACCTAGAGTCACTTCTTCTAATTTAACCCAATGAGGATTAGGTGGACCCATTTTCTATGGAAATGGAACTGTAATCTACGATCACCAAATCTTAGGGATAACTTTCACCTTACGTTTCGATAAAGAAAAACCCTTTTAAAGCAGTAATACCTGTCATTTTGTCGTACACTATGAAATTCTATTTTATTTCATTCCTCAATCTCGCGCTGGTTTCTTCCAACTTACACATTACTAAACGACGACGTACTGCAACAGAAATAAGAAAAAGAGCAAGCGTTGCAATCTCTTTTTCTTACGTATTCTCACCTATGATTAACACATAGTGGCATCAATCTGACAGCAAAACAGAACAAGAAAAAATATATATATGATGGGAGTAAAGCAGAAGAAAAACAAAAGAAGTTTAAACACACTTTCCTACTTTCAAACGTCTCTGGGTTTTTCGCTCCTTAATATTTACCTATTGTCACACATTTCTAAGTTTCTACGGTCTCAGCTTACTCACATTTTCCCATTAACCCACCACCGTAAAATATAATTTAAAAAACATATAATATAATTGTATAATAAATATAATTTAAAACGGACACTAGTTACACATCTCTTCTTGTAATGGTACAAATGTTGGGCGCTGTTGTAATTAGACTCGGTGCGTCTTTACGAGAACATTTTAGTTTCCTTTCAAGAACTTGGTGTTTCTTAAAAACTCGGACCCACTTCAGAAATCGACTTCCATCAGCCCACGTAGAACTTTTTGTTTTTTTGATTAAAAAAATTATCTTTCTATAATGTACTGTTATTAAAAGAGTATTCCACAGTAGACATGTTTAGACAAAAAAGCGTGTTTTGAGAAAAAGCACTGTGCATTGGCTAATCCGTTTTAGGACTCGTAAGAGAATGCTTATAATTTTTGAACGCAAGCCTACACAGAGTTGTGCAACGTCTTATTTTGATTTTGTACGAAACTTTGTACCGAAACTTGACCTAGTCAAAGTTTCTTCATTTTCCTTTTTCTCACTACCATTGTCAATTTAAAATCTAGGACATGAAATAAATCTGATATGATTGATTCGATTTGAAAGCGATACAGATTCTAAAAGCAGACACTTCAGACTATCTTTCCATATGCTTGTCTCCAAACTGACTTTCTGACAGAAAGTCATCATTTCTGACGCGGCATAGTGGGCAATTTATGCAAGAGCAGGCAGCAATTTGAACTAGTTTACATTTTTTAACGCTGAAAACACTTTCCCATAGGTAATTCGTAACGCTGAGCCTAATGGCGCTATCAGAAATCTGCTAACTAGTTTTGGTTTTCCAAGGTTTTCCGAAAATGTTAAATTTCGCTTATTTTCCATGAAATGAAGCACTAAATCACACATTTTGAGAATTTTCACCACGCTAAGACTGGCGAAGATGTCGAAGCTGCTTCTCATGCACTTAGGATTTT